TTATCTTAGCAATAGCTGAGTTAGCTTTCTTGTTTCTTTATGTTTTATATACCATTTTGTAGCTCGTGAAATTCTCTATCGAATGGTATATAATAGTTGGGGTTTTATATGACTATGATAGGAAAAGTTTTTTATGACAGCAGAGAAGGGTCTATCTTCTCATAGGGAAAAATGACTATTTTTGCAATAACTCAGCAATGGTTCGGCCAATCATTCTCATCTTCGAACTCGACTGAGATATTGTTAAGACTAAACTGTGTAGAAAATTTCATCGCGATCGGACTCTCCTTTCATAAGTTATCGTGTTAACGGCCGGACACACTGACCGATTCTAGAGTGTACTCACTTTTTGAGTACACAAAAACGATAGTTCTTTTCCAACGGTAATTGATTTCCAGCAAACTATATGTTTTTTATTCCTACATTTTGCACAGAAATTTTGTTTTCTTTTTTAATTTGTCTTGTTGCTATTCTCTTGTTACTTAGTTCATTTTCATAATTTATTATTATTAGTCTAACAATTGTTTTAATGGACAAATAAGCCCATTGTACATATTCGTTATATCTACAGCAAATCTTAACAATCTGTTTTGTATTTCGATGAACTTAGCAACACTGATACTTGATTATTCCTGAAAGTTAGAATTTAATCAGTTCATGCTTTTGTAGTGGTCATATGAAAGTTTAGGGGAGAAATCAAAGCATCATCCTTAATATCTATCATATAATCGTTTATCTGCGCAAAAATCAGAGATTAAATTGTTTAGAATATTGAAAAAAGTATTCCAGTCATTTTAATTTCAAGAAAGGTTCTGAATATTCTAGGACTTTCTAAGACTTGTTATTAATGTCATTTGGCACCTTTAATTCCGGTCGCTAAGATCTGTAATGAGAGGGAGAGAAGCCGCGAAACTTTGACTTAGAACCTACACTCCCTATTTTCTTCGAAACTATATGTAAGCCCCACAAAAAAGACTTATGCATTCCATATATTTATACAACAAATTCAAACTCGGCATACATTTTGAATTTTAATTTAGGTTCTTATACACATAGTTCAGATATTCTTCTATAAAATCATGCGCTCATCAGTCACATCAGAAAGTAGGAAAATTTTCTTTGTTTTCACATTTAGTATAAATACAATGGAATGAATCCAACTTCAATAGAGTGTCATATTGTGTAAGAAGTAGGAAGGCTTACGATACTCTTAAGACTTGACTACTTTCAATTAGATATCGTTGTATTTTTATGTCGATCGAAGTCTAGAAATGCACAATTGGATTTTTGTTAGTCTTTGCTGGCTACATAGAAAAATTCAACTAGTTTCAACTATTGATATAACATAACAGATATTGCAGTAAATATTATTTAACATTATCATTATGATAATAACAATTACAAAGCTGAGCCTTACAAGAATAATTTTCTTCTCTACTTTAAATCAAGTGTGTATCATTCAGTATATCTTTTTTTCCTATTTTTATAGTTCTAAATAATTTCTTTTGTAATAATCTTGAATTAATTTTGTGTCTATTCTTTGTATAGTTTGGTTTAAAATACTTTTATTATAGTCTCTTAATATTTCAGTTTCATTCTTATACATCTTATCAACTTTAAAATTGTATCAAAAAAGGGACTAAGTAACTCTAAGTAATTTCAAATACAAAAATACATTGTTTCCCTCTAGTTAACATCTTTGAACAATTGTAACATTCAACTAGACGGTAATTGAGCTCAGCTCATAGTTTAAGAAGGATGCGAAGAATTTCGAATTTTAGTTTTGGATCGTCGACATTATATAGCCGAGTATTTGTTGAATTGATGAAAATTTACTATGATTATTGTAATTTTTTGTTGAATTTACAACAAATCCTGGTGTGTTTATTATGGAAAAATATACTCTTTAATCATTATGAAATTAAGGTGTAATATATACTGAGCACAAAATAATCCTTTTACAATCGTTATATAAAATAAAAAGACGTTTGAAAATCACTTTTCGGAGTAATTTCATGCAGTCAAGATTAGATACAGCATTCGAAATGTTATTCTGCTAGACTTATTTCTATAGGAGCACTCGAAAATATTCTGTCGACGTGTTTCTCTTCATCAAATAGTCGCAACTTCGATAAGTTTCGAGTGGTTGCAATATACCTGACGAGTCAATAGTACTCTTTCAACCGATTTTATCTTGTCGAGCACTCGAAACTTCAATGAGTAGCCGATCGAATACAATTTGTCAGTGCTCAGAATCCGATGGTTTTCTAAGCACGCGGAATCAGAACAGGACGAACAAAACACAATATATTTTTTAAAATTTTCAACTGCTTGTTGCCCACATCGTATGTTTTTCAAAGTCTGATTGGTTTGTTTTTTGTTTCTTACAAAATACATGCAAACCACTTGACACGTTCTCTTTTCAAGTATCCGCTTTTCATTTTGTACACTTAGAAAAAAAAAAAGAAGAAAACAGCAAACTATTTATCGAATGTCATGTATATAGGTTGTGATGAAAAGCAGAAAGAACGAAAAAAAAAATCTGTATTTCTTTATTGCATCGATTTTTATTTACCTTGTGATGCATCATACGAAAATATTTCCAACAAAAACAAAAACATGAATCATTTTCGGATAATGAATGCATGCCAAAAAATGGTTTTTTCCCACGATTGTATCATGTGAAGTAATAGATAAAATCAGTTACTTCTTTGGTTTTTTTTTCAAAATCTCTATTGGCAAGAAGACTTTGTTTGTCTACCAACAAACAAAGTGATTTATCATAGCAGGCAAATAAAATAATCATTATATGGTAAGTGTATCTTTAATTAATATAATTCTATGCATGATTTCTCTAGAATGATATTGTACTAAGTAGAAAGTGATAAAGATAGATCTTATGATACTTGTTTATTCGTCGATAATAATTCTTATAAACTAATTTTATTTTAATAGAAAAGATAGATTTATTGATGAATACATTAAATAATAAGTTCCTACGAAATGTAAAAATGAAGTTTTTGATATTGATTCATATTCGAAGTATTTTTTGAATGATGTTACGATATTTGTCCTGCATTTTTCATGGACTTTATTCGTGATATATGTCGAACAGCTTCTAATCCAATCATAATTCAAGAAGTTCATTCACATCTAATTTTCTCTTTAAACAATAAATATCGATTTTTTATAATTTAGCGTCGTTCAACTCTTGTTTATATACATAATGATGAGTCTATTTAGTAAAATATTTTTTGAAATAATCAAATATCTTTCATTAGATAATGATATCTTTGGATTCTCTACTAGTCTTCTATCCTTATTTTAAATAATCATTCAGTAAGATTTCAACTATGTCCTCCTTGTATTCCATTTGTTACAATGATTATTCGAAAAATCAAATCTGAATAAATTGTTATTTTACAATTCAATGGGATTTGACTATGATCCAAGAGTGAATTAACTTTATTTTTTATCTACAATGACTCTTCTCAGTCTATCCATACAAACAGTCGATCATCAAATCATATTGTTAATAGTCGAATATCAGATAATATTTATAATAAATGAATAACTGATCAAGAAATTCAACATATTGAACAAGTACATAAATGTGCTCAACATATCGAAATTCTCGTCGTGATAATAGATTCTGCGTAAAGTCCCTTAAAGAAAAGAAAAAGTCCGATAAAACATAGAAAAGTCCTATAGATGACCATTCTATTAGTGATTATGATTAGGGTTTTCACCTTGAGAAAAATTGTCACTATTGACCACTGAAAAGAAAAAAGTCCTTCTGTTAAGGGAAAAGTGACGCATGACGATAGTAAAGTACATCTAAAGTCCGCTATGTAAAAAGAAAGTTCTGCTGAAAAATAGAAAACTTGGGTATACTATCAGTGTGGCATAAATTTGGTGTTTTTTGATTAATTAGTAAAGTCCTTCTATTCACTAGCGGACTTTAGGTAAAGTGGACAATTTTGGGATCTTTGACAGCCCTGGTAATTTCAAATTTCTTGCACCTCACTTAAAAATAAATACAACAAGTAAGAAACATGAATGTTTCTACTTTAAGAAAAAAGTCAATAATGAGAGTATAAAAAGTTCTCTTACCAACGGCTCTTACAGGATGTCATGAATCCACATCTCATCTACCAGAGATCTGCAGTTTTTTGTGAGAAAAAGGAAGAAAATTGCATGTAGTAAGAATTTCGTTCCATAGTATGGGACGGAGTAGGATATTCTAGCGTTAGCCTTAACTTTTGACTCAACCTTAGTAGCTGAGGCAACTTATTAACTACGTAGTTATGCATTCACCCTCAGTTAGTTACTTCATTATCACAGACTGTGGTTGCGCCACAACTTGAACCTACCAGTGGAATAATCCTATCTAACTAACACTCTTGACATACAATCAGGTTTATGAAATTATGATAAACTATGTTATGGTCTGTTTAGACATGTCTTATAGATATTTTTTCAATGATAACAAAGTCCATGAAAATGCAGAGTATACGAAAGATGCGCACGGAACGAAAGGTGAGGTTTAAAAAACAGAACGGATCCTGTCAACCTCATTAGATCCACATCCACACCTGCACCCTCACTCTTACATCGCACTACCACCCAGCGCCCTTAGAATCGTTATGCATATCTTTCGGGATCCGACAAACGCACTACGTTTACTTGTTGCTTGTCACCAATCAGAGTTGAAAAGGAAAGAAAAGAAAGAAAAAAACCCAAAGCATGCCTTGTTTGTCATATTGTTTTCATACAATCGTGTTTTTTACCTAAAAGAATATTTTTTGATCAATTACGCGAGATATACGTTAATGTTAAAAGAATGGTAAAAGAGATTTCTCCAAAGGTCAACATTCACAGTAAAAAAAAAAACAAACCAATCGACAATCACATAAGTTTTTCTACACATTGACTACAAAAATAAAGTTCTTTATTTTTTAGAACTTCACTCATTGATTACAAAAGAACAAGTGATTAAAATGGTAATTAAATTCATCATTTTTATTTTGATATTGTTCTTTGAAAAACAAAACAGTTTGCATCTTTTGCAAAATTTCAATTTGACTATTTCGAATGAAAAATATCGTAGTTAGTTATATTCACTTTATTTTAATTAGGCTAATGATGATGATGATGATGATGGTAGTGATATTAGTAATTATGACATTGATCTCATCGATCATAGTCCTTGTAAGTTATTATTCATATATAACAATAGAAAAGATAGATTTATTGATGAATTTATTTATTTATTTATTTTCAAGTTCCTAATGATTGTCAAAATGAAGTTCAGGGTATTGAATTTCTATGCCAATATTTTATGCATCGTTACAATGCTTGTCCAACTTTTTTCATTGGTTCTCTTGAAGAAGCATGTCAAGAAGCTTTCAGTTCAATAATAATTAAAGAAGTTAGTTCAAATCTATTTTGATAATTACACTAAGATGTATTTTATTTTAGCGTCGTCCAGTTCTCGTCTACATACATCATGATAAAAACTTATTAACAAATAGATTTTGTTGGAATATACTCTGTTCAGAAATGATTATTGATTATTTACTTGAAAATTATATTGTTTGGTCATGGGATATTACATTTGAATCAAATAGAAATATGTAAGTAATTTAATATTGATTGATTAACATAGGTTTTCATCTTAATGTTATTATCGAATAAAATTTTCTTATCATTGATTTAATTCTTCCACTAAAAAAAAAGTTAATTTTTGTCAGAAAAGTCGAAATTGAAATAAATGCATTGAAAGATAGTCTAAAGTTTATTCTTTCATAAACGATATGAATTTGTATTTGGCATCTCGTTTTTCTTTGCCAAAATATTCGACAATTTCTGTCACTTTCTGCTTGAATGAGAGTTCATAGAGGATTTCTGATTGTTAAATGAGATATTGTTGGTCCTTGTTTAATAAATATCTTCTGTGAATGTAATGATATAGAGCAGACAAATTAAGCATAGTCTTTATACTACATACCTAACACATCTTAACAGTTTCATGCTTTTGAAGAGAAACTTTATATGACATATCTCTTTTCGTATTAACAAATATTTTATATGATTTATAGATTGATAAAAATCTGGAATAAGATCTTTCCAAGTCAAACTTCGATTGATTTTTCTCTTGAACAATGTCCAATGCTTATTGGTATAATGCGAGAATCTTTATATAAAAAAGATTCGTCATCAACATCAGAATATGAATTTACAGTATTATTTAAAAATGAAACTTTGACAAGTACTGAGGAGACATTTAGTCTAAAATCAATACTCAACGAATTGTCTATATTTAAAGAAGAATGTGATGATAATGAACAAGCTTTAGTAAGTCATGGTTATTTATTTATTTTTGTTTAATATTTAATAGAAATTGCTAAAAAGTTTTCATATCTACTATTAATTTCATTGTAGTCTTTCGATTTGATTAAAAAAACTAATCTTTCTTGGGAAGTTATTATTGAAATATGCAAATATCTCTCATTAAATGATGCAATCAATGCATTTTCTTCTAATATTTTATTTTTTCTACGTAAACTGAAAGCAAAAGTACATATTGTCGATATTAGTGAAACATTTATTAATACGATTCTTCGAAAAATCAAATCTAATCAAATAATTTCTTTGCGTCTGAATAGTGATGAATCGAAGTTGTATATGATATCGAACTATTTATCTTTGTTCAATAATGTGATCTCGCTTAATCTTGTTAATCTTGAAATTATGCAACAAATCAGTGAATATGAAATATATTTTCCCAAGTTAACTTGTCTTTCCCTTTGTTATAACAATGAAATTGGTTTCAATTTATTACAAAATGTACTTTCTTATCTCCCAAAATCAATTAAACGATTTGAAATTCATTGTGCAGGTGTATTATGTACTCATTATGATATTGATGAATTCAATATAGAATCTATATACAACTTTAACATTGAATATTTTTTACTTGATATTGGTCAATTTCAATTGATTTCAG